TTTGATCCAAGACTTCTATTTTTTCCGAAGCCTTAATTTTCCTTTCTATCAGATTGCCAAAGATCTTTCTATTCCACTTTTTCAAGTCTTCTTTCAATAATTTCAGCTTTTTAGCCAGGACTTCATCAGCTCTGCCAAGTACATTGTATGAGTTCCACCAATTATCAGCCAAATCACTGAAATCTTTATGTTCAAGCCACATGTCCTCGAATTTAAAATAACCCGTTCCCTTACTCCAATCCCCACATTCTAGCAGAATGGGACAATTGTCTGAAGTAACCCTGGGCAACACTCTTTGTTTTAAGAGTTTAAATTGCTCATCCCATCGTTCAGCAAAAGAGGATTCTGTCTATTCTAGAGGCACATGTACTATTTCCCCCCCTAAACCAAGTGTATTTGCCACCATGAAGTGGAGGATCCAGTAAAGATAAATCATCAATTAATCTGGAAAATTCCCTCATAGCTCTAGTGCTTCTCGCATTCCCTTCCTTTTCTGCTTCAAATCTGACCACATTAAAATCTCCAACAATAACCCATGGCTGTGAAATCAAGCCATAGATTGCACCCATCTCTTTCCACAAGCTCCTCCTTATCTTCCGATCACAAGGTGCATATACCCCTGTGAATGTGCAGTCAAAGGCAGTATTTTCCTCCTCCATAAAAGGAGTACCAGAATGTTGTCCGACAATTTCTCCTTGCATTTCCATCTCCTTTTGTCCCAATACACCACAATTNACAACTGACTGATTGGCTTAAGCATCAGTGCAGTCATGCTTTTGACTTTTCAAACAGGTTGATAAAGTTAAGGATAGCATGCAAAGGTTGAAATCATGTCATCTTAACCTCAGAAGTTGAACATAACCATACTGCAGATCTTTCAGGCAGAAACACAACCAAATGATGAAAAGAAATGCCAATAAGAATTCACCATAAACAAGAGCAATAAGGATTCTCAATCACCTGAAAGTATCATTGTGGATGGAAATAACTATTTCTTCTTCAGGCGATAACTCCATCTTCAAGGGCCTAGATTCAAGAAAAAAAGAATTACATTTGGAGCCAGGAATAAAAAGTTCTCAAGGGATGCAGAAAAGAAATATTACAACTTACAGCAGCTCCAATCAACAACAATTCTACTATAGAATATAGCATCACACCTTCAAAGATAACTGATATTAATTACAACCCATAACCCATCCCTGCTGCCAGGACAAAACAGATGATATGGGAGAACGATAAAGGTTCAGCAATCAGAGCAACTAGTCATCATGCATAAATAACTTATAAACATGTAATTTCACCTGCAATATTCCGAACAGATTGCATGACTCTCAATAGATCAACATGTCAAATGGAGTAGCATGTCAATTCGAGAACTTGCACCAATACAGTGCGGTTACATCCCACATTCGAGAAATGTCCAAAATTTCCAAGCCGGAGAATGTAAATGTAGTTGAGGGATATGAACTCAATTTTGAGAGGCCAACATAAATGCTAATTTATCATCTTTAGCATGAAATATGGAAAAGATGAATTACGAGGATTATAACTTTGACCTAGCATCTGCATGAGCCAACTTATGACATACATCAACCATACGGGCCTACTGATCTTACTTTTCAGATTATCTAGCCATGACACCAAGAAGAGAATATTTTGATTAATCCACTAGTTGTTCCGAGTTTCAACATCTAATGACTTCCCACATTACGGATGAAAGATAAAAGCAGAGATAATCACAAAATCATTCACCAAATCCTGCACCAACTCAAACCAGATAACAAGTTACTACTTTAAGATTGAAGCATCAAGATATGAGTTGGCATGTAAACTTGTTTAGTCGCTTCGAGTAAAAGTAGCTCAAATCCCATTCGAAGCAATTAAAGAAACAAAACACAAGGGACAAAAATAAAGTCTTCTCCCAGTCCCTGCTTTTAAAATTTATGCTGCTATTTTTATCGTGCAAAATGACTTATTGAGAAGGAAAAAGAGAAGGTAATCCCTTTATTCTTTTGGTCGAGTAAAGTAACATCAGTATAGATTTAGCTTAATAAAAACACATCATTTTCCAGCTACTATTGTGTTGGAGGGATTGCATCTATCTTGATCCATTATGAACTTAAAAACAATCTTACACAAAACACATAGCAGGAGAATGAAGACCCTCACCGAAGCAAAGGTTGCTGATTCAAGATAGTTGACTGTGACAGACGCTCAAAATTATACTTCTCGTCTGCAGCATGCTGACCAACCAAAGAAAAATGAAAAAAANGGGAAATAAAATACAACCTAAGGAACCATAGTATCCGCCCCGCCATGATCGTTCTTTATTTCTTTGCGTTTTTCGGCCAAACAACTAGAATTCCGCGCGATTCCCATATTTTTGTGTGTCCCACACCTTCCGAGTGGTCCANAGAGATCATCCAATTCAAATCACATAAGCAACATTCAAAAACCAAACTCAAATGATAGACTAATTTACTTTTACTACAGAGAGGTCAGTATACAAAAGCAACGGAATAATACCTGATCAACAATAAAAAGGTCCTCATCCAACTTGCCTATAATGAATCCAAGATTGAATTGCCCAATCACCTGCATAACCAAATTTTGAAGTTGAGAATTTTCAAATGCTGATACTAAAACTCTGCATTTCTGCTTAAACTACTAATGACAAAAGTAAACACGGACATGGAATGATTGCCAATTGCATGTAAATAAACTAGTGCTTGACCGCATTTAGTATTGGAAGCATGACAACCAAATAGCATGCAATAAAACTCACATTTTACAGATATATAGCACAAATACAGCTCCGCAAATACTAAGAAGTTCAAAAGAGTAGGTTTATATCAGCATATCCAAGAGAGGACGACAAAAATCACTTATTATGGACTAGCAAATCTGTTACAATAATTTAAGTCAGAACACTGAAGGTTTCATGGTGTAAAGAGAGGAAAAAGAGATCAGACAAATTCCAAAATGCAAATAGTGACTCCTGTCATGCCTTGGATTGGATTGATTTTACAAAGAATAGCTGAAATTGAAAATGAGTATTATCTAGCGTTAAATGAGGGAACATGTTCAGACTGCACTTCAGAGTTGCATTACGGAGTGAAGAAGTGGGTTTATAAG